AAAGAAAATAAAAGCAAGTAGACAACCAAAGTCTAAAACTGTCAAAAATACCTAGATTTTTACATGCGCTGTCCGCTCTTTTCCCTTCTGGAAATATACAACGTTTAAGAAAAGCTCCTTGACAAATTTGCGACCCCGTCGAACAACGAATTCCCATTGAGCATTTTTTTAAAATATTTTTGTTTTAAACATCTTTCTGCTTCACACTCTTTAGTGACGCGGAAGCTAGTTTCCATAATTTTGCTACTTAAAATTTTATTAGCATAACACAGAGAAATTCAGTTTTATTGCAGGATTAACACTCACCTGTGAACGTTTCATAACAGTATATACGGCAAGAGAAATTGCAAATCCTATCGCAGAAGAAAGAGCGGTACTCAGTAAATGATAAATTGAAAATTTTTTGCCCATTATTTGAGAAGTACGACAATAAGGCGAAATTGATGAACGATATTTACTTTCCGCAGATGCTACCACTAGCGAAATTCCACCGACCACCTGCAACAGTCAATCACAAGCGTTTATTTCATCAATTTTTTACAGTAAATTTAGCAAAAGTTTTGTCTACAAAAAGTTTGACTACTTTTTAACTAGCGATTTAAATTAAGGTTTAAGATTTTATACTGTTTGAATCGAACATTTTGAGCTTATTTAAGTTTGACAAACAGATTGATGATGACAATAAAAATGCATACCCCAGTAACAGCGTAACCCAAACAACCCAGCAAAATTTTATGAAACAATCTCCACGATGAACTGTAGAAGACATAATATTTTAATGCAATTATACATTCGGTTGCAATCGTCAACTTTGTTGTCCACACCATAGCGCCTAAATTTTTTTTCTGCAAAAACTGCAACAGCAGTTCGAACTTTCTGTGCCTTTTCTCTATTTCCAGGAATGTAAAACTGCTTTGCAATAACTAAATTGTCACTTGAAAAAGTGCAAAAGGTTATCAACACCGCTGTAAGTTTTTATTAGAAGACGTCTTAGCTGAAAAACGCTCTGAAAAAGCAACAAAAAGCAGAAAGGTGCTTCCAAATCGCGGTAAATGTTTAGAAAAAATGTGAAAGTGCTTAGGAAATAAACCTCCTATAATGGAAAGCAAAGGCCATGGCCGTCTGGTAATGCATTCCCAACCAGTCATTGTGTAATTGTTTGTTTTCGTTTGAGTAAGAATTTCTCGCGCGCTAGCGGTTATTGAAAAAGATATACCATTTATCTAAAAGTATTTTAGCAGACTGGCAAAT